GGCTTCAACTCCAATGCAAGATACCAACCCCGTCCTTGTCTGGGTTCGTGCAGGTTTTGCAAAACATACTGTTCAGCCTGTTGACACCAGTCGGCACACTGTTGCTCTTTGGGCCCAACCTGTCTGCCCAGCCAGAAAACTTTGGGAGAGGATGCACATGCTTCCCAAGGCGTGCTTGCATCATCCAGCTTCGGAACTGCTGCATACTGTACCAGTTGTGGCAGAATGAGCCGAGGCGCTGCTTTGTTGATGGTGAGAACTAGACCCGCATGAGGTTTCCAAGGCACCTCCCACAGCAGCTTAAGCTCAAGGAAAGGTGCAACATTGTTGCTTGCCAGGACATAGTCAATCTCAGACCCAGTAATCAACGTGGGCTGCCCTGTACTCACAACATCAGCTTTGAGGACGTTGAGCAAATGATGCCCTTGCCACTGCTCCGGTGGCACTTGAAAATCCCCAATGACAATCCAGGGCACTGCAAGCTCCCGCAGGAATGCCGCCAGCTCTCCCAGAATAGTGGCATTGGCCTGGGAATTTAAATCTTCACCACACTTCAGATAAATGGAGACCAACACAATCTCCCACTTTTGCCGTTGCAGCACATTGGCCAAGAACCCATTGCCTTCCAGATCAAATTGATGGAGCTGGTAAGCCGACTGTCCCTCTCGACAACAGAAAAGTTGGCCACCACTGTTGCCTCCACGACCAGTCTCATAGGCTTGCAGGAACTCCGCCTGCCACCTGCTTCGGCACAGTGCCGCTTTGGCTTGCTCCAGTTTCAACCCATGAAGATGCGTCTCCACCATCACCACCGTTTGATGTGGTTGTTGCAGCAGCCATTCTTTTGCTTGATTGTTCCATTGGGTGATGTTGCTATAGAAGACTTCAATACCTTCTCCACTGAGCCTTGGCCTTTTGGAGGGCGGCTCAAAGTTCCCAATCGTGCGGGTCCAGAATGGTGAATGCTCCGCCCTTGAAGCCCATATCATCACTGCTCCCTTCTCAAACACCTCCGGTATGGCATTCTGGGCTTGTGGGCACTGACCATCATCAACAGTCCAGAGCGCATCCCCTTCCACCAGCATTGTGACAGAATGTCCAGACTGAAGGTCCTCCCCTTGATGCGCAATGACACCTCTTAGGACAAAGGTTCCATGCCCAGCATGTCCGGTGGTGGTCCTCTGAGCACACCTGAACGAGGAAGGAATCTGCAGCCTGTGATGGTGCTTGACCCAGGATTTAGCCTTGGCGCACAGGTAGCACCGCCCAATGTGGAATACAATGTGGTCCACATTGGCACCCAAGCATTGCCCATTGGCCTCATTGGCCCAACTAGTCAGCAGCTGCTCTATGCTCACACCATCGCCAGCTTCAACTGGCATCCTGACAAACAGCGGCAGGGTCTCAAATTCATGATCTCGGCCACCAAAATGTGAGTGCCACATCCCTTGGAGTCCAGGTTGACCCCACAACTCCCAGAGGTGCGCAAGAAACTCCGAGGCGTCATGCTGTGCATTGAGACCGGCTGAAGTTCTGATGCCCAAAAGACATCTGGGATGTCATCTTGTTGCAACAGTTGAAGGCACAAATTTGTCGAAGGCCCCCAAAACTCGCCAGGTTTCTCGTGGTGAGCTCCCATCCAGCACCACATGCGCAGCACTGAATTTGCAAAGCAGCGATTGCCTTTGTTCTGAAAGGTCAACGTCAGGTTGGCCGCAAGGAGCTCATTGGACGGAGGCATGTTCAGGCTTTGGGTGACAGGCCTCGTCAGCTGAATGCAGCCTTGGAGTGCTAGCCTCATTCGTAGGATGTGTTTTAAGGCCTCTAAACCCCACACTCTGGTCTCCACCAGGCCATAGTCATGGTCATCTCTGCATTTGGCCGGCAAGGCCTGGATGGCCGCCAAAGCTTTCTCTTGAAGCACAAGGAGCCTATCCTGCAGCAGACCTGGCGTGGTGAGATCAACGTTCAGTTTCTCTTCATCCTCCAAGATGAAATAGTCATCATTGTCCAATTTGCCTCCACCCAAGAAGGCACACTGGACATGGCTGTGTCGCGACATGTCCCGCTTCTCACTGGGCTGCAGCAGGTGAATCAGGGTCCCGCTAGTAGCAAGTCTGGGTTGCCCCAGCTGCTCTGTGCTCGTCAAGGGCAGTGCCCCTATCACCTCCTGCCGACCCATCTCATCATGAGTGACAGTGCCGTCACCTTGTTCATCTTCCCAACTGCACTCTGTCAGTACAGGGGAGAGTTTGGGATCCCCTCCACTGCTAACATGCTCATCATCAGGGGCCGCACAGGCATGGCTCATGCCCTCCCGCGGCCGGAACAAAATTGAAAAATCATGGTCAACCCCAATGTCAATGCCAAAATTGCCATGGACTGTGTCACTTGGAAATGGATTGGCATGATGCTCCCCAACATTCGTATACGGCTGCACTCCTTGAAGGACAGCACACATCAAGTCTTCGTGACCAGCATGCTCGTCTGCCAAAGAATGAAGCGTGTCATCTGCACAATGCTCACAACCCCAAGCACAGTGAGGTGACATAGGAGACCGCCAAACATTCAAACACTCCCACGCGTTTGAAGTACCCCAAGTACCCCAGCAAATCTGCTCACCTTCAACCATTGTGTTCCTGTAGGACCCCTTCACTGCAGGAAACCTCACCCCACCATCAACTTCTTTTCCATCACTGTGGGTCCAGCTGATGCTACCCACATAACTGGGTTTCATCAGTCTTGCGGCGCTTGGCCAGAGTTTCAGCCAGGTTCCGCTCCAATTCTTTCTGCTGCTCTGAATTGAAAATGATGCCTGCCTGGCCAAGAGCTTTCAAAACATGCTCAGTGGCATCCGTGTCCAGCACATGTTCATGTGCCGGCACAATTGGAACTGCCTCTTCTTTCAACTGCTTGGCATAGGCCGCCGATTGATCACCCAGCTGTTTGTGTTCCTTGTCGATGGCCTCCTGCACAAGTTTGAGCTCATCCAGGAGGGTCTTGTACTGCTCCTTGGCCTGATCAACTTTCCTCTGAAGCGACTGCTTCTTGGTTGCCAACTGTCTCAACTCACCCACTGTGGCCTTGAGTTGCCCTGTCACATCCACATTGGCCGTGGGTGCCGGCTTGATCAGGCCAACCACTGCATCCTTGACTTCCTTTGGCAAGGAGTCCAAATGAGCTTTCAGGACCTCCTCCAAAGGGGGCAGCTCTGGTTCCGGCGTCAGATCAATGCCAACGCCTTTCAAGGCCTCCTGCACGTCAGATGGCATAGATCCCCAAGCTTTCCGCAAAGCAGTCTCAAAAGGGTGAGAGCCCTGCTTGGTCTTGCCCAATCCCGGCGGGGGATCAATTTGCTGCCTCACTCGACCACGTGGCTTCCTCTGTTTCTTGGTGGGTGTAGTGGGCATGTGCCATGGATCTTGCTTCTCAGGCCATGGTGTGCCACACTTATGGCATCCCCACCGTTGGGCATTCACCCTATCCGCCCATATCCAGGAAGAGCTGCATCCCCCACATGCAATGTACTGCCTGCGGGATCGGACCTTCTCAAACTCCTGGAAGTAGCCACCTGCCATTCCCCAAAAAGCTCAGGTTCAGGCCCTCGACAATCTCTATTGTGAGCAATGGCAAGGCCACCGTGCTTAAAGGAATGGTCAAAGAGGTCTGCAAGCACAATGTCCAGTGCCCACGAAACCTTCAGTGTGGGCCGATCCAGTTTGAGCCTCCTTGAGCCCAAATCTTGAGCCACTCTCTCTGTCTCTCTCTCTTTCTCTCTCTCTCTCTCTCTGTCTCTTTCTCTCCCTCTCTCTCTCTCTCTTTCTCTCTTTCTCTCTATTCCTCTCTTGAGCTCTGGACCCAACACGCTATTCGCGGCGGCCTGCCTCTGCTCCACTTTGGTCAGCCACTCTGAAGCATTTTGGCGAACCTCCTGCGAACGAAACATGCAGCCAGTATCCTTATGGCACATTCTTATGGCGCGACACGTGATGCGCAGCATATTCTTGAACCAAGTGGCTCGTCTTTCCATTTGCAGCAGTATGACATCCCTGTAGTGGAGAACTCTCGGTTCCTGGCCGTTGGGCCCTGTACTCGGTGAAAACACCTCCGGAATAGGCTCACAAAGCTCTGCCTTGGACGCCGAGTCCTGCTCATTGGCAGTGGTCAGGTCCTCTGCCAACGATTGAAATGCACCGACCCGGTGAGGTCCGACGCAGCGAGGTCCTTTGACCTGAGGTCGTTCGGACTTGACGCCGCAGGTTCACCAATCCTCAGAAATGACACACGTTGGAAACAAAAAAGCGATGCCGGGTCAACGCTTCCCTACCTGCCTACTGGTCCACCGCTGAGGGCCGTGCAGGAATAGAACGAAGAAAATTCTCAACCACATATCAGCCTCAGAACCCCCATCCCCCACTGCATCAGTTTCTCCAAAGCAGGTTGGATCCAGATCATTGAGTCCCACGCCGCATGCTCCCGATGGGAAGACGGTGAGGCATTTTCATGATGGACATATGGGGTAGATAGATTCCTTTGAAGGTGTCACCCACCCCGACGGGAACCAGCCTTGAAAGAAAATTTGCAAGGGGTTCTGGGAGTCTGGATGAACAGAACACCTCTGTTTATCCTGTTAGTTCGTACAGTAGTTCGTACCATGAACACTCTCATCCGCCCGCTTGTGGGGCACGTGTCAATTGTCTGGCTTCTATTCATGATTTTTGCAGGCCTGAGAGAAACAGAATGCACAATTCATTTGCACTACAGTAAGTTCTTTTGCGTGCTGAGCTTCATTCATCTTCCTTGGTCGCTCATCGCTTCTCTTTGTGCACAAGTTGCTCAGAGTGCGATTGCCAATTGCACACTACTTTGAGCGCTCCGTGCTATGCTGGCTGCTGTGCCAGCAAGTGAAACATATGACCGGCCCTAGTGAGGCTTGAGAACATTGACACTCCTCTGGTGGAACGCCTCAACTTAACGTTAACTACCCTGTCTGGCTGCAGGTTGAAGCTTCGTTTGCTCACTAGTCACTACTCAGGCACGTCCACTTCCACTTCCCACTCGCCCAGTCCGGGCGCTGGGCATCTCCCTGGCCGAGCTCAGCGGCTCGTAGTGCTGGATCAGGTTGACCTCTCTGCAACACAAAACGAAGTGATGATGGTTCCGGATGGTGCCCTTTGATTCTTTCTCAAAATGCGGGCCCCAGAAAGAATGGATTCCCACTGTTGCATTACATACGCTACATGCATGCCTCGAAACGGGCACTGGTCACTGGTACAACCTTGCTTTCCCCTACTCCAATGCCACCAAACACTTCATGATGTAACTGACGTGTATATCTGGGCCTGAAAGAGATTCCAGCGCTGCTGCACACGTCGGATGCGAGCCGAGAGCGACTGCGGAACCTGGAGCTCAGTTGTGGACGGGGTTCAAAAATGTTGAAACTCAGTATACTCAGTCTTTTCGCTAACCTGTGGCATCATTGGTGCTGCCCAACTGCCTCACAGCATTCCCAGAAGGCCTCCTCCTCCTCTGCAATGTCACTCACTTTCTCAATCTCTTCGACATCAGGCTCAGAGCAACAGCCTGACGCTGAACAGCGGAGAGCAACAGGCCGCAAGTCCATGTCTCAAATACGCGGAGCCCCGTGGTCCAGTGCCCCCTCGGATTCCAATTGGCATTCCCCCCACTGAGGGCCAGTTCTTGCAGCAACAATGCGTTGATCAGTGTTGCTCCAAGGTGGAGCATGATGAGAATCACGCGCTCTCATTGAAGGCAACCAAACTTGGGTGGACCAGGACTACAGCGACTACCATCTTGACATGGAACCTTCTAGTCCCAAGCCCCTGTGCAGCTAAGCGGCACTCCACACCACACGCAGCAACAGCGACCAAACAAACCCCAAGCCTCAGTCTGCTGACATCACAGCCTGCAACTTGAGATGCGTCCTAATTATGGAGATAACGTGCCTGCGCAACGTTGTCCGGCCAAGAGTGCTGGCACAACTACCAAGGCACCCATGTAAGCTGAGGCATATTGGTTGAACACATGGCAAGTGTAAGGGCCTGCCGGTGACTCGCTGTGCCATGGAACAGGAAATCACTCAGGCTTGCAGTTTTTTGTGTTAAACGAAGAAAAAGAGGGGGGAAGGGAGGGAGGGAGGGAGGGAGGAGGGAGGGAGGGAGGGAGGGAGGGAGGGAAAGTTCCCCCAGAAGTGGCAGTAGCTTTACTGGACCTGATCGAATACACCAAGCGAGGCCACCAAGATCGACGGTGTGCGAGCGGCAGCGATGCACACCTTTTCTATGGTTGCGGATGCAGGTATTGGGCTACAATAGTCTTGAGCCAAATGAATTTGGTCGATAGCGGACTGAAGAGCTACATACAAGTCTATATACAAGAACAGGTGCTACACACGTATAGCGTAGACACGCCTCTAGGGGACCTAGGGCACTACAAACACAAAACAGACACAAATTTTCGTGTCGAAGCTTACGATCGCTAAGGTACAAGCTTTAAGCGCAAAAGAATGCAAATGAATTACAAAAGTTCTGGCATCGCAGAACTAGACCGTAGATGCCATTCTGGCTCATCTAGGTTGCGTCAGATACTTTATACAAATCTACGAAAGGCATTTTGTTGCATCGAAAGTTCCGGAATATCGGAAATTTTCTCAAGTCAATTTCAAGTCGTTAAGTCTAAAGTCAAATTCTGTAAGGCCTTTGTTTCATTTTGTTTCTCTAAATCTGGGTCATTTCGTTCATGCATTTATTTAGCTCTAATGCAGTTCACCTTTAGCTCACTAGCCGGAATTTCGGCTGTTTAGAGACTACCTACCAGTTCCGGTATCCTCGGTACCCGGCATTCCAAGAAGAGCCGGTGTTCCAAGATGAACTGGACTGACACCATGAGCTAGAAGCGCCTGAGGACCATTGGTCCTGTTGGTACCAGGAAGAACTGGACCAGCCTGCTTGTCGATCTTGTCGATTTTGTCGAGATCTTTCTTTCAGGCGTTCAACTCGGTCTGCGTTTTTCTCAAGGCGATTGATGGCAGAATTATGGCTACGAACTCTGATCTTGCGTCGGCTGGAGAACGAAAAATTGCATTGGAATGGATGGTGGTATCCCAGGCCGCTGAGTCGCTCTTTAGACGCAAATCAAGATGGTTTAAATGTTTAAGGAGTACTAGTCTCTTTTTGACGAGGAGGTTCCTCGTATCCGATACGTCCACGGTCTTCCGGAATATCGGATAACCTTGCCTGCAACGTGTGCATGTCCTTACCTTACCGTAATTTAAGACGATCTGCAGCAAGCAGTCGCAATCGGCATCCAGACCTTCCAAAGCGGCGAGCTGCTCAGTGGCGAGGGTTGAGAAGTTGAGACCTCCCAGTTATAAGTGATACGCTTGCTCGACTCACGCTTTCTGTTCGCTGAAACAAGGTCAAGGATGGTAAGGACAGCGCCGGTCGCCGGATCGGCATGTCGATCGCAGTCATTCAAACTTCCCGTCCGCAATATCGCACATTCGTGGAACAATGCCTCAGTGTCCACCGGTTCGGCTTGAGTGAAATAGGTGGATGCTTGTGCTACAGCTAGAGTGTCAGGGCAGACAGTTACCTCCATGTTATCTGCTGGATCAGCTCCCTCTTCGAGGGCTACTCGGAGGTTCTTTCTTACGCCACGGTCATCGGTGATGCCGCCGTCTGTTGACTCTTCGACCTTTCCCCAGATCACGCGGAATGTCGCGGCATGGGCTACCCAGGCTAGGCGGCCGCCTTCGAGGTCGATTCGGCGGATGAGTTCCAGTCTCGACGTAATACCGTCAGTGGAACAGATTCCTGCCATCGATGGTGATTCACCATCTGACAAGGCGACGACACACATACACTGGTATTAAGTTGAAAAGTTCTCGGTGTCGTTCAACGCCATCCGCCTCCAACAGGATCGTAATGTGTGCCGTGTTCCTGACTAGGTAGTGCGGCAAAACGGCATGCTGATCCGTATCTGCGAGCTCCCTGGGCAGAGGCTGCTTGCCGTTAAAATGAGGCACGCGATTGATATCGCCAAAGTTGAGCAGCAAGACACTGACATGTTCGGTCGAGCGAAGAAGTCTTGCCTCATTGAGATCAAAGTCTCCCTGATTTGCGCGATATCCTTGCATGTAAGAACGGCTAAGTTCGACAATCTGTCGCATCTCGTCGCCGTCATACCGGCGTTTCAAGTCGTAATAGCAGCTTGGTCGAATAATGGGGTACGGCGCTACATCTGATTGTTCGTCCCAGTGTTGAGCAACTGAGGGAATGGATCGGCTCGAATAGGTTGGATGATTCGAAAAATGGTACTTGCGAGCTCCTTCGAGAACAATGCGATCCATTGCGGCATATCCTGTTGAACCGCCGCCAAGAACAAGGTCCTTGATTTCTTGCAAACGGCGAAGTCGACCGGCATGTCGGTCAGACGTGGACCAGCCCTCAGATTCAGACGCGAAGGGAACTCTAAAATCGATCTCGGCGGTGATCTCTTCGCGCTCATGCTCACCAGATAGATTCGGTTGCACGAACAATGATTGTCGGCCTCGTGGTAGCAGTCGAGACATGACCCATGGCCGCATGCACGACAAAAGAAAAGGGCGTCGGCCTGGGCACAGATAAGGCAAGTCATCTTTTCAGGGCGATGGAAATACTTAGTGGTGGACTTCTGAGCTTTCTTTGCATCGCTGATGACTTCCCGCGCTCGCGAGGTCGCGCGCTTCTTTGGCTGTAGATCAAAATACTTCGTTTCCGGAATATCGGAAAACGAGACTCTGCGACCCTCGGATGGCGAGCGGGTGGTTCCCGGTGCGCGGTCAGCCTTCTTCAGGACAGCTCGAGATGGTGTTCGTGACCGTGCTCGGGAGGACCACGTCCTTGTGCTCACTGTTCCGTCTCCTGTTTGACTGCTGAGGACGACGAGGCAGCTGCTGAGGATTTATCCGGAATATCGGATTCTTCCTTCTTTACAGTGCCTTTCTTGACCCAAGTTCCTTTCTGCCTGGCTTCCGCGAGATCGTCCATCATGGTCTCATCTAAGGCGTTTATGACCTGAATATCGTCGTCGTCTTCCGCCGGAATATCGGCGTCGACGTCCATCTCATCATCTTCATCATCCGGGTTGATCAGGTCTTCGCCTTCTTCCTCCGTGGTCTCGGACAAGGACCTCTTCTTAAGACGGCGTAGGTTGGTCTCCGAGTCCTTCCACTCATCATCGACGCTGAGGAAGTTGAGCCACGTCTCGGCGAACAGCTTAGTCTGGCCATGAAGCTGGTGGCGTTCGAGTTTTATTTCAACGACTTCATCTCGCCAAGCTTCGACCTCGCGAAGCTTAACGTTCTTAAACGCCAGCTTTCGCGTCTCGGCCTTAAACTTATCATGGCCATTGCCCACAAGTCGGAGTACCTCGCAGTAGAGCTGGGAGTAGAAACGAAGGTACGGCTCATCGGGCACCGACATTGCGGGCGTGGATGTCGGAACGTCCCATAACTTGGTAGACACACAGCAGTTGTTCCGAACATCCCACGCGAGGCTGAACAGACCGGACGGAATAACATCCTTGGTCAGAAAGTATCCGTTCTGGACGCTGTTCCAGCGTTGCCTTCATGTGAAAGGAGAAGGCCATTGATCGGCAAAAAGTGATTCATGTCGCGCTGCTTGCCGACGACATTGCCGCCTCCAGGAAGGAGGCCATATTGCAAAATCGAGCGAAGGTGTCGGTACCCGGTCATGTGAACCAGCGTGTCCGGCATATCGGAAGCTGGCAGTGCGGGATTTTCAGGGCTGCAGCCGGAATATCGGCTTCACCTGAATGGCTGGAAACATCTTGGACAAAAACGTGTGCGGCCTTGAATTGCCTGTACAAATCGGCAATCCTCGGCCTTGAATTGCTTGTACAAATCGGCCTTGAATTGCTTGAAGTTCCTTGCGATCCTCGGCCGTCATACCGGCTGGATGGATCCAGGCCTCAGGGCTTCCAATAAGTTTCTCGCCCTTGTTGTAATCGGAAGTGCTCAAAATGCCGATCTGGTACCTGCCTTTCTGATTAACTGATTAACATAATGGTAAAGGCTAGCGGGAGCAGCATGTTCACGCGCTCAACAGAATGTTCGCACCATTTCTGGAGCTGAGCCTTTTGCGCAACCACCGGAAAAACCGGTTCTTCCTTGGACATGCAGGTATGAGCCCAGAGGCTTAGCATCTTCCTGAACCGTGCCCCAGCCATTGGCTCAAAAACCGTGAGTGACTTGTCAGCATGGGTCCATCCGGAATGTCGGAGGATGAAGCTGAGCTCACGCGAAATTTTGTCGTAGAGTTCACTCTCGAAGATACGGTTAAGAGATGTTAAGAGCTTCATTGCTGATCTTAAAGAAACCGGACCAGATCATCCACCAACAGTAAACAAAACGAGAGCTGACTGTGAAGTCGGGACGATCGAATGCTGAGTCCATTCCGCTGGGGCGAGGTCCTGCGTCACGGCCTTTTCCTTGGCCTTTGCTCTGGCCGGAATGTCGGCCTTCGGCATTGCGCGATTCGTCTCTCTTGCCTTGTTCGGCTTGCTCAGAAGGCGCCTGACGAACTCCCTCGCGACGAGCGGTCTCTCTTGATGGCATTTCGCGAGAAGGAGATCGCTTTCCTCGGCCTTTGCCTTTCGGTTGGCCAGGACCGGAATATCGGTCAGTGTCCCTATCATGATCAGGTGAGACACTGATGATACGTGCCACATCGACATAACGCCGAGCGGCATGCGCAAAAGTGGAGTCGCCCCATGGCACCGGCGGCGACTCGCTCTGACGCGATTGGCTCACGCTGCGTCTGGACCGTAATACCGGTCGCGCAGGAGGTGGCTGGCTTGGTGATCGAGGCCGCGACTTGGCG